CCGAGCCGGCGCCCGAGCCGGCGCCCCCGGAGCCGCTGTCCGGGCGGGGTCCCTCGAAACTGACGCTCAGGAGGTCGCGGAAAGTCATCTCAACGCTCGGCCGTCGGGGGCCAGGCCCGGGGGCAGGACGCGCGGCTGGCAAGGAGGGGGGCACTGGGCATAGCCGCGTAAATTCGTCTCTAGCCCTGCGCGCCTGTTCCGTTGGAGTCCTGACCAAGTTCCTGGGACGTGGGGCGCAGCTGCCCCGAGCGGAGCGGGGCCGGCCAGGACGGCGACCGGGCTCTCCAAGGCCGGCCGCGCAATCGGACAGAGAAGCCGGGCCGGCGATGCGCGTCGGAGCGCGCCCAGGCGAGCGGGCAGAACGGCGGCTCCGGGCCGGGCGGCGCAGGCGGCGGCCACTGCGGCTCTCCCAACTCCGCGCGGGGGGCGGGACGGAGGAGGGGCAGCGCCTGGAGGGAGGAGGGGGCGGCCGGCGCCGAGGAAGGGGGCGCAGCACTCCAAGGAGAAGGGTCTCTGCACAGCGGAGAGCAGGCGTGCTGGAGTACGCAGGGGCCGCGGCGGTGGCGCGCGCTCGAGTCCCGCAGTAGTCGCTCACGCCTCGCCGCGGGTGCCCACGCCCGCCCTCTCCCCTCGCATCCACACAGCTCTCCCTCCCGCGCCTGCCCGTGACCCCTCCCCTCTTCCCTCTGCTGCGTCCCTGTTCCTCCCGCCCTCTCTCCAACCTCCCGGTCACTCGCTGGTGCCCTTGGGTGCGTGAAGCCAAGGCGCAACTCCTGGCTCCCGGGCTCCCTGCTCCGGCCGCCAGAGAGCAGTAAGCGCCCGGAATCTGCGGACTGCAGACTGCACAGTGTGTGCGCCGTGGCGGTCCGCTTCCCGGGACTGCCTGGGTGGATCTGCTGCACCACTTCCCCTTAGGCTACTGGGCAGGGGAGGGTCCGAAATATCTCTGCCTAGTGCAGTGGCGCGGAGAGAAGGGATCAGACGGCTGTGCTGGGCTGAAGCTATGTATCACTGGCACACCAGTGAGAGACTATATGGTTACAACCCTAGAACTCTCTCCATGACACATGTCTACGTCTGCCAACTTCTGCACTGCTACTCCACTCCACATCAAATATTGAAATAGCATTTCCTACTACTGCACCAAGACAAGTGGCCTTCTTGGGGGAGGGAGGTTTAGGGACTGGTGAGTGGGAAAGGCCACTTGGTGGGATGGTTAAGAGGGTAAAGACAGTCAGTTGGGTCTAAATCCAGGCTTAGCCCCATATTAGCTATCTGATCTCATTGTGCCTCTCATTTTATTGTGATCGCCATTTGCAGTTCCTCATCTGCGAAAAGAAGGTAATGGTAGTAGCACCTATCTCTGTGGTTGCTGTGATGGTTAGACCAACCAATATGCATTATGCCCCCAGAGCAGAGTCTGGGATAATTAGATGAGCTGGGCTCAGCAGTGCAGGACTTGAACAGGGATGAGAGAGGGGAGAGGAATGGGGAGCTGATAGGAACCAGGGGCGCTGACGGGAGGGTGTGAGGAGATTCTTGCTGACTAGTCGAACTAGGTACAGATGAAAAGAGATGACTCATTTAACCAACAGGAACTGTCATCATGTGGCAGGCTCATGCAGGACACATGGGTCTGAAGTGAGGGGAGGAGGACCTGCATGGAGGATCCTGCTACCCTGTAGGTACGGGATGAGGCAGGCTTGAGCCACGCCAGGCAGATCAGAGCCTGTTTGGGGCAATGTCTGGGGGTGGGCGTGGGGAAGAATCCACTGACTGGGGCAAGATGTCTGAGAGTCCTAGAGAAGAAGGTGCTGTGAAGAAAAAGTAGAAAATGAGAGAAATGTTGAAAGATGGATACCCCCTTCCTCCCAAGGAAGCCAAACCTGTTAATAGCTTAGAAATAGCTTTTCCAAGGCCCTCCACTGCTCCATTAAATCTTTTACTTGAGTCTTTGGGAACTTACCATGATGAAATGAAAGAAAAGTGGATCTTAAGGGTTACCTGGCAACTGTCCCAAAGGAAAACCTTGGGTTTGGGCTTCCTCCTGGAAGGTGGGGGACAGAGAACGTTGAAAGGGGAGGCCAGGAGCTCCTCATATGAGCCTGCTGGCTGTCAGGCTCTGTGCCAATGATTGGCTGTCATCTCATAGTATGGCTTGAAGTATGCCTGTTAGGTCCATCCAATTCTGCGCTTGGCCAGTTTTCAAGGAAGACTGGAAGAAGGACATATTGTTAAGTCCAAGGCTAAGGCTGGGGTGGTAGAGTACTAGACAGGTGTTACATAGAGGTTTGAACCAGATTCCGGTCTAGAGGACCAGCAGAAGGTTGGCTGGAGGTGTCCTTGTCAGCAGGGCAAGAAGAGTTGTGGGATAGGATGCCTGGAAGAAGGTGGGACAGTCTCACCATATCTCAGGTCTTGGGGATTCGGAGATCTGCAGGAGGATTCCTGAGGCTCTAAAGCTCTAGAGGAAAGAATATGGAGGTTAGTGCGAGGGCAGGAGTTATGAGATTGGGGGTTTCCTGTACAGGTTTCTCAGATGGTCAGATCAGAGGAGGATTTGGGAGTACTGGCAAGGGCAAAAATTCTCTTTCTGATGGGTGGTCTCAGCAGTGGAGGGGCTGGATTAAAGTGTGACCCACCCCAAGCACACCACATACACCCACATCTTATGGGCACCTGAAAGTAAACATATTCTGAATTAAACTTGCAGTCTCTGACACTTACTTAACTTGCTCTGTTTTTTTAAAAAATGGAGCCACCATCCAAACTATTGCTGAAAGGAAAAATCTAAGGCCACCCTCTGCTTTACTTCCCATCCAAAATCTAGCCATTTTTCAAGTTGTGTTGATTATTTTTGTCTACTTGACTTTGTGAATCCATCCTCTTCTCTTCATCGCCTCTATCTGACTCCAGTATTGCCTCCTCCCAGTTGCTTGCCATATGAATCTTCCTAAATATATGCATCCGATCATTTCACTTATTTAACAGTGTTTCTTTGCTGACTCACATGCTTTATTGTTCATGACACGCATGGTCCTATGGGGCTGAACTTTTTTCTATTTCTTTTCATTTTCTGTTTTTGAAGGGGGGAAGTCGTTGATCCCCAAAGTAATTTGCTTAGGAGGTGATCCCAGGAGGTGTGATGAGGTGGTGTTTCTTTAAAAGGGATGCTGCTTTGTGACTGGGCAACGTGGGACCCTGAGATTTATTTGGGTTACAAATTAATGAATGTGAATCAGAAATCTTTTGTACTGGAAATGATTCTCATATGAAATTTGTGTTCAAGAATTTCATACATGAATAAAGCCCTGTCCAGAGGGACAACCTCTCCCCAAATGTCTAGAACTTTTCTTAACTGAATCTCAGGGTCTAGGAACTCAGGCCCTCAGGCACATTCCCACTGCATTTCAACATGGAGTCTCTCCCCCTTTAATCATCCTTAAGGGATTTCTGGAGGAAATGGATTTCAAGGAGAGTTTAAATGCTCTTTAAATCAAGAAATATCTTCCATTCTTTATTATTCTTTATCTCGACTTGGCCTGTGGAATGGGGCCATCTTTCCCTATAGAAATATTGGTGGGCTTTCTGAAATTGCTGTGTGTGTGACCCATCAATACTTTCAGCTGAAGAATACTACTGGGTGTATTCCTTTAGTTAAAATACTTGTCATAGATAGTAGAAGCAGAATGGGTGGGATCTGTGGTGGCCTCACTTGTAATACGATGCAAACTTCTTGCTCCATCCCATCAGCCAACTACTGAATTTTCTCCGTTAGAGCCAAGCCCCTGGATGGCACACTGTGACTTCCAAAGACAGAGCCTTTCCTGGGGCATCAAGGAAGTCATCAGCAGTTAGGGAAAGAGCACCTTACCTTGGGATCCTCACTGTGTGAATTTTGGCAAATTCCTGGACCCCAGTTATCTCCTTTATAAAATGGGGTAAAGAGGATTGGACTGTATCAAAGAGTTTCAATTTTTTTTTTCCTCTTTTTTAAAGCAAAGGAATTCATTGTTCAAATGAAATCTTCCACAGAAGCCCAATATACAAAAGCATATATTAGTGGAGATGCTCTGGCTGTACCAACATCAATATCCTAAATCCATTCCTCTGGGCCTCCCTCTCTAGTTGGATTCTGGCCTCTGAGGCATTGTGGGTTCCAGGAGTCTGGTGGGCAAATTGCTAGACCAATGAGAATTAGAGACTTCTGTTGGCCCTTAGGTTCTTTATGGTCTGGTGACATGCCTTCCAGAATCACCTGTGTTTATCTTCTCTCCCTTATGAAATTCCTTTAGAATGGTAGCAAAGAAGCAAGAAAGGTTCATCTCACAACTTAGAAGTTAGTTCCTAGGCTGCATCTACCCCTTCTCTTGTGAGGATGGTGCATGGTGATTGTCATGGTCAGAATTAGATGCTAAATGGGAGAGAATGCTGATGAAGAAGGCATTTATGATAGCCATTCTGCTAGCTGGTCAACCCCTAGTCCTCTTCTACCCACCAACCTGGGAAACCTTTATTCATTCGTTCAACAAATGTTAACTAAGCTCTATGCCAGGAACTGTCCTGGCCACTGGGGATATAATATTCAATAAAGCAAAGTCCTGCCATTCTGGGACTCATATTCAAATAGCAGAAAGAGTTAGGGGAAGAGTTTTCCATTGCCATGGATTAATATTTTCTCTGGATTTGACGTCTGGGAGACCAGATGTTATTAAGACCAGATGTTACCTTTCAAGAAGGCTATGCTCAGTGAAATCTTCAAAGAAAAGCTAAATCCAAAGGCACTGTTTCCCAGTACCTCTCTATGCTAGACTAGCAATGGAGAGCTGGGTGTGGAACCTGAAATGGGGAAAATTCAGGCATATCATTGGAAGACTTGGCTAAAGCTGCCACTTCCTGGAATCAGTCCTTCTGGAGAAACACAGAAACAAATACATTTTGTTCTACAGCCTCAATCTGATCTCCATCTCTGGTCACTGCCTGATCTTTAACTTTACCATGAACTGACCATACCTTGGCTACAACCTAGCCTATAACCCTGACTGACCCACAACATAAGCCTGTCTGACCCCCCTGATTGTACCATTC